ACTGGACCTCGACCAAGCCTGAGGCCAAGCCAAATCCACCTAGACTCGTCATGAAGTCCCACACCGAGTTGATAACCTCTGGCACGAGAGTGGGTGGCAATATTGATGAGGGGTAATTTGGTCCAACCTGTTAGCATGCAGACATGTGGATCGACTCAATAATTGGATGATGACTCAGCATTCTCTACCACCTTAATAGGCTAGGTCAGCTCAGGTACCTCGAGCACCTCTTTCAAGACTTAGGTCCAAGAAGCTTGTGATCGCCCAACCTACTGAGGTGACACATAGCCAACTTCTAGAAGATGGTCAACTGTCTCCAACCTCTCCAGGATCATGCCAAACATCCGCGAGCCTTATCCTTATACCGCCTGGATTGGACGGGCTCGATAAGCCTTATCAGCTCACACGAAGTCCATCTCCGGGTGCGGAACAGACTCCTACTAACACAGACCGGGGATCTAGAAGGTGCTTTGTAAGACCTACAATAGTTTGTCTATATAAGGGCTTCAACCCTAATGCTACAAGGTACGCGCGGTTATTGCTCACTAGCCTTCTTACTCACAAGCTTTTTAGCTCGCAAATAGCAGTTGCTAACTTAAGCATCAGAGTTCCCACACCGGGTAAGCCACCCCAGCTAGGTTCTCTGAGTGTACTTTCCTTGCAGTTCGATCGACCAACTAATCAGACTGACATTCGAGCTTCCATCTAGCTAGGAGCAACCGGATCGTGCACCATCAAATAACAATAGTTTAATCTTTAATAATTATTGAAAATTTACGGTGAAAATACACAACTATTGAAAATAAATTTATATACAATAAATAACCTATAGAAATATAATAAATGCAATAATTATGAAAACACAATAAATACTAAAAACATATTAAATTAGTTAATAAATATTGTAATTTCAAATAATAGTTTAATGTCTAATAAATATTAATCAATAAATTATAATGAAAATACCTAATTATGACAAAAATACAATAAATTAAATTTAAAAAAAGTTAAATAACAATAGTTTAATCTATAGTAATTATTGAAAATTTTCTATTGAATAACAAAACAAAGATAGTCTATACATAATTATTGAAAATATGTTTATCACAAAAATATAACAAATCAACTGAAAATATAATAAATATTAATTTGAGTATATATAAATATACAATAAATACAGATTATGATTTCAAAATTATTATTAATAAATACTAATTTTTCTTAGTTATTAGAATTGTTAATTGCTATACTTTAAATAATGTTTGTATTATTAGTAAACTAATAATTGCAATTATTATTCTATTTTTTAATATCTTAAAAATATATTTTTGAAAGTTATTACATTTTTTTTGTTACTCGGAAGCTTCAATTCATCTAAATTATTTAATCTATTTTTCATTATTTCAATAATATTCAAAGATTTTTAAATTATTTATATTTTATATTCCTATTATCAAATATTATTAAACATATTATAGTTATTTTGTTTTTCTGATAATTTTTAATGGTATTAAATAATTTTTTTATTTAATCTTTCTTGTTTGTTAATTAATATTTTAAATATGATTTATTATTAAAAATTTTTATATTTAAAATATTTAACAATTACTTATTAACAATATTATTTAGTTATTTAAACAATATCATTATTTAAAATTTTAACATATTAATTATTTATTGAATTTAGTAGTCTTTAAAATTATAATTTATAGTATTATTACATAATTTAGTTATTAATTTTTAAAGTATAAAATTATTATTAATTTTAATATTATGGAAAATCTATTATAGTGTTTTTCTACTTTTAAGAGAATTTTTAAATTTATTACATAATTTCTCTAGTTTAACCATTTAAAATTTAGTTATGTTAAATATTTCGTTATTTAAACATCTAAATAATATGTAAAATATTTAAAATTGTTTTCTATTTAAATTTTATTTATTTTATTGTACTTACATAATATTAAATACTTTGTTATATAATTATTAAGCTATTCTAATGTCTTGTTCTTTAAAATATTTATTTTGTGAAATATTTAAATAATATTTTAATTTTTATTATTTGAATAACATTGAAATTGAATAATTGTAAAATTATAACTTATATTGTTAGTACATAATTGCATTATGAATTTCATAAAAATATAAAATTATTAATAATATAAATATTACTAAATATATTATAATTAATTTTTGTGTTTTAATAAATACTTGAATTTATTTACATAATTTCATTATAATATTTAAATAATTTTTAATTGAAAATTTCCTTAAATTTATATAGATGAAAAGCGAGGAAAAGGATAAATAAGAATTAAAAATAATTTAGGAGAAAATCTCTTAACTAAATTAGAGATAATTTAGGAGAACATGGGATATTGTTAGCATTTTGTTAGCATTTGGATAGACATTAGTATATCAAATCTCTCTTTTTCTATCTATTAGTTATTTATAAAAAGGGAAATTGTCAAAAACTCAACATGAGTTTTCAGCATTTCTCTTAAACTCACAACTTTTCTAAATGTCTAAAACTCACCATGTCACTAACTTGACGTTAAAGAGACTAATGACTGTTAATATATTACCATTTTAACCGTCATAGAAAAATATAAAATATATACATATATTTTAATATTTAGACATAAAAAAAGAAAAAAATTCAAAAAATATTTTCAAATATAAAAACACAAAAATTACAAAAAGTATAAAAAATTATAGAAATTGCACACAAAATAAAAAATTATTTTCAAATTATAGAAACTATGACATTGGAAAACAAAATCAGAAAATAAAAAATGTAGAAAACACCAAAAATTATAGAAAAAAGACAGAAATTGAAAATAAATAACAAAAATCACAGGAAGTTTTAAAGATGGTAGAAAATAGAAGAGTGTATAAAATAGAAATTATAAAAAACATTAGAGATTATAACAAAACACTAAAATGTAAAAGAAAAAGAAAATTGAAAAATGAAAAAGACCCTTTTCCTCTAACTTGCACTAATGGAAGGTGAGACATGGTGAGTTTTGAAAAAGTTGTGACGAGTTAAAGAGAAATGTTGTATGGTGAGTTTTAGACAATCTATCTGCATATCTATCTATATATCTATCTATCTATATATATATAACAAAGCGGTTAATAAATTTTCTCCTTTTTTGAATTTTTTATTTTATTCTGTCATTTTTGAGATGCAATTTCCCAATAACCTAAATAATCTCTTCTACTAAAATTTCTCGTAAACCACCTCCCCCACTATCCCCCACTTTCTCCAAAATTATCTCTAATTCCTATTTATCTCCAAAATTATCTCTAATTTAGTAGGGAGTTTCTCTCATAAATTATATCTAATTCCTATTTATCCTCTCTCCTACTTTTTCTCTATATCTATCTAAAGAAAGTTTGGATTAAAAAATTTAAGAATTATTTAAATATTATAACAAAATTATATAATAACTTTACAATATTTATTAAAAATTCATTCATAATTTATACTATCCTCTCTCCTACTTTTTATCTATACTAAAAATTTAAATTACATTTTTCCAGATTATCAATTTAAATGTTTCTCAAATATTTAATAATATGTAATAGATTCAAATAAATAAAATTCAAAAAACAAAACAATTTAAATATTTTCTAGATTATTTAAATATTTAAATAACTAAATATTTATCATATCTAGATTTTAAATAGATAAAAATAACGAACTTATGTAATAAATTTAAAAAATTTCTTCAAAGTAGAAAAATAATTACAACATAATATTCAAATTCATATTAATTTAATATATTACAAAATTAATAATGAAATTATGTAATAATAGTATAAATTATGTTTTATGATGAAATTCAATAAATAATTTATATTTTAAAGTTTAAATATTTTACAAATTATTTAAGTATTTAAATAAAAAAATATTTAACATAACTAGATTTTAAATAGTTAAAATATAGAAAGTATGTAATAAATTTTAAAAAATTCTAAAAAGTAGAAAAATAATTAAAACATAATATTAAATCTAATAATAAATTAATATTTTTACCTAATATTATAAATAACTAATTTCACTTATATCAAGCAATAATTCAAGAAAATAAATTTCAAAAAAAATAATATTTATTAATAATAATCTTAAACTCTTAATCTGTATTTATTATATAATTATATATACTAAAATTAATATTTATTATATTTCAGTAATTATTTATTGTTTTTTTGTGATAAATGTATTTTCAATGATTATGTATAAATTTATTTTGTTTTGTTATTTAATAAAAAACTTTTAATAATTATTGGAGATTAAATTACTATTATTGAAATTTTTAAATTTAATTTATTATATTTTTGTCATAAGTTATTGATTAATATTTATCAGAGATTAAACTATTATTTGAGATTATACTTTTTATTGACTATGTTAATATATTTTTAGTACTTATTGTATTTTTTCATTCTCAATATATTTTCAATAATTGTGTATTTTCGCTATAAATTTTCAATAATAATTGGAGATAAAACTATTGTTATTTATTAGAGATAAACTATTAATTTAGCAGAAATAATGAGTGTTTATGAGTTGGTTCGGTTTGGTCGTATGCTATTTAGCCAACCAAACTAACTTGGTCAAGTTGGGGAATTGATTAGTTGAAATTGATTGACCTTTGTAAAAATCGACCTACTCAAATTGTATCCATTTGAGTCAATTTTTTTGGTTTAATCAATCAGTTCAAAAGATTTAAACTAGCACTGTCATTTTCTTATCTAATAAAATATTGATTAAATCCATCACAAATTATAAATAGTGTTTTAATAAAATAGCTAAGTATAATGTAGATTTTAGTCTTTTGCTTAATAAATGTAGTGCATCGCACGGCTCCCCGCAACCTTCCCTTATAAAAATAATATGAAATAAAATAAAATAAAAAATTGAAAAAAAAGACAGAAAAATGTAAACATCCCTTCTTTCTAAAGCCCTCTCTAGTCTCTAATCTCTACTCATCCCTCATCTTCTGAGTGTTATAAATACTCAGTTCTGCGGGCTCATTTCAGAAATCCTCGTCGACAATGGCGTCTTCGGCGGCTCAAATTCACATTCTCGGCGGTTCTGCGTTTCCTTCCTCTTCGACAAAGTCCGGTGTTCGGAGTGGAAGTTCTTCAAGAACTGTTTTCTTCGGACAGAGATTAAATGTCAGCGGCGCTTCGTTTGGGATTCCACGGTCAGCTTTCCTAAAACTTAAGAGAAATAGCAGGAGAGAATCTGCAGTTGGTCCTGTTCGGGTTGTAAACGAGAAGGTTGTTGGTATTGACCTTGGGACGACGAACTCAGCAGTGGCGGCGATGGAAGGTGGGAAGCCGACAATTGTTACAAATGCTGAGGGTCAAAGAACGACGCCTTCGGTCGTTGCGTACACGAAGAACGGAGACCGACTTGTAGGGCAGATTGCGAAGAGGCAGGCAGTTGTGAATCCGGAGAACACCTTCTTCTCTGTGAAGAGGTTTATTGGAAGGAAGATGTCTGAGGTAGATGAGGAATCGAAGCAGATATCATATCGAGTGGTGAGAGATGAGAACGGTAATGTCAAGCTTGAGTGCCCAGCCATCGGCAAACAGTTTGCTGCCGAGGAGATTTCGGCGCAGGTATATCTCCCTCTCCCCCCCCCCTCTCTCTCTCTCCTGTCACAGTAGGACTCTATTCCGCGCTTTTCTTTCTGAATTCTGATGACTCTGTATATCTAATTCTGTTTTGTGTTCGAGTTGCATTTAGTATACTTCACACCTTGTTTTGTGTGCGTTTTCAATATATCTTTAGTTGTAGCATTATTTTGGAATTATTTTCTTTCTCGCATTTTATTGACTTTGATACGGCTTCTTGCTCAGGATATATGAATGTATATCGGGAAAGAGTTGCGTGGAGTGACGAAGACGGGCTAGAGTAGGAAGTTAAAACTGTGCCTGTTCTCTTTTGTTTTTTCCATTCCGTTAGAGAACTATACAGGTTTCTGTTGTTGTGTTAAAAGCAATTTTCTATTCTACCCTACTTAAGGAGAAAAAGAAGTTAAAGGTGTCATGTTAACCACGTTTTTGAGGAAGTCTTAAATGTAATAATTTAAACATTCATATTTTGTTGCCGGATGAGAATTTGAGAAAATGTTTCTGCAATAGTTTTCTGAACATTTTGCTCAAGAATGCGTTTAGCTTGTTTTGTCATGTTAAGTATTTTGTGGTAATTAGGAAGAAATCTGTTCTCCATCACTTCTTCTAATCTAAACTGCTGAAAGTATTGCCTTAGTGTTGTCTGGTAATCTTTATTTTCGTGGTAAAGTTTTCTTGGACTTTCTGGTACCATTAAATTTTAACATACTTAAAACTTACAAGATTATCTAGTTCTTGGTTTGCAGCATTCACTTGAGGACCTTAGCACTGTTGTGCATGTTTGTCATTATCTCTTAGTTAAAAAACTTAGCCTCTTTTCTTCATCTGCAGGTATTAAGGAAACTTGTAGATGATGCATCCAAGTTTTTGAATGATAAAGTTAGTAAGGCTGTAGTTACAGTACCTGCTTACTTCAATGATTCGCAAAGGACAGCAACAAAAGATGCTGGTCGGATTGCTGGTTTAGAAGTTCTCCGTATCATCAATGAACCCACTGCTGCTTCACTGGCATATGGGTTTGAAAAGAAGAACAATGAAACCATTCTAGTATTTGACCTTGGAGGTGGAACATTTGATGTATCAGGTATTAAGACTATTCCAAAACACTCCATTTTCAATTTCTTTGTCATTTTAGTATGTAAAATTCCAGATTTTCTTTATATACACCCATGTTTCAATTTATCTATATCCTTCTGCCTATGGAATGGTAGTTAAATTGAACTTTTTCTTTGACTTGGTAATGTGACATTAAAAATATTATACTGCTGTAACTATAATGTATATTTTTGCCATAAGTATCCCCATCTTACCTATGTTGGATACTCGTATCTTGAGACTCCATCAAATTCTTGTTCTGCAATTTCATGAAGTACCTGTAACCTCTGAATGTGGTAGGGAAAGACTAGTTAAGCTTTTCTGGTCTTGACAAAGATAAAAAAGATCATATACCTTTGTCTTTTTAATGTATTATTTTCTCATTAAATCCTTATCTGTCCCTTGCTAGGTACTCAGATTCTGATACTTGGAAAACCTTTATGCTACAATTCTGGCAATCGCACCATTAGCATGTAATATGTATGACTGATTGATCATAAATGTATAACTTTTTCTTAATTGCAGTTCTTGAAGTTGGAGATGGAGTGTTTGAGGTGTTGTCTACATCAGGAGATACACATTTGGGTGGAGATGACTTTGACAAGGTTGAGCTTGTATTCTTTTTATTATTCAAATTGCAACCAATGTGGTTGTTTTTGATTTCTGATCTATTGGTTACTGAACCTGTCTGCTGTTGGTAAATACAAACAGAGAATTGTTGATTGGCTTGCTGAAAACTTCAAGAGAGATGAAGGCATAGATCTTCTGAAGGACAAACAGGCTCTTCAGCGTCTTACTGAGACAGCTGAGAAAGCCAAGATGGAACTCTCATCTTTGACTCAGACAAATATAAGGTGTGAAATGCGTTTATTTTCTTTCTTAACTGCTTGTATGCTTGCATGCGTGCCTATTTACAGATGTTATGTGTAACTGAGAAATTTTTTATTGCCTTTTCCAGTTTACCTTTCATTACTGCAACTGCCGATGGGCCGAAACATATTGAGACCACCCTTACAAGGGCCAAGTTTGAGGAGTTGTGTTCAGACCTGCTTGATAGGTATGCACTTCACCATTTACTGATTTACCAAATATTAATTATTATATGTCAGATTCTTTGGATAGATTTTGTTTTAGTTGGCCCTTACTTGTGAATTAGTTTTGAGTTGCTGGTGTTTTTAGTTCCACGGTCTTCAGAATTGGGACTATTAAGTTGTGTTTGGCTTGCTTTCAGATGATTATTCCAATGGTTTTTGTGACTCTAAGAATCACTTTTAAGTTTGGATTTATGAAAATTAYTGGAACTAATTCTTTTTATCTTATTATGCTTCCCATGATATTGATATTCTTACTTTCAAACTACAAGTCCTTGCTGCTATAGGTGTCAAAGCTGCTAATTTCTGAGAAATATTGCAGGCTTCGAACCCCAGTAGAAAATGCATTGAGAGATGCAAAGCTTTCATTCAAAGATCTGGATGAGGTGATACTTGTTGGTGGATCAACACGTATACCCGCTGTACAGGAACTTGTAAAGAAAATGACAGGAAAAGATCCCAATGTTACTGTAAATCCTGATGAAGTTGTTGCTCTTGGGGCGGCAGTTCAGGTCAGCTCTTTTTACTTTCTGATCTGTTCTAGTTTATCATCCCGTGAGGAGATTGACATGCTGAATCCTCCATTCATGTTTCTAAAAGTGTTATGTAGTTGCAGAGTTAATAACAATGTTGGCATTCATTAGGTATTGGTTTTGATTCTTTTATTTAATTATTTTAATCTAGCTACAACTCCTTAATTTTCAGGCTGGTGTGCTGGCTGGAGATGTCAGTGATATTGTTCTCTTGGATGTSACACCATTATCTCTGGGTCTGGAGACACTGGGTGGTGTGATGACAAAGATAATCCCAAGGAACACAACATTGCCAACCTCCAAATCAGAGGTGTTTTCAACAGCTGCAGATGGGCAGACCAGYGTTGAGATCAATGTTCTTCAGGGTGAGAGAGAATTTGTGAGGGATAACAAATCTCTTGGTAGCTTCCGCCTGGATGGTATTCCTCCAGCACCCCGTGGTGTTCCCCAGATTGAGGTGAAGTTTGACATTGATGCSAATGGTATCCTTTCTGTCACGGCCATTGACAAGGGCACAGGGAAGAAGCAGGACATCACCATCACTGGTGCTAGCACCTTGCCCTCTGATGAGGTATGACCTAGAAACTACTTGGACCTAAATTGCTTTAGTTGAGTTTCAGTGGCCACAACACAGGTCATAGGGCAGTAATGCCAAAATTATGTTGGATTCAAGAGCTCATGCTCATTTCAGTGCAGTAGTTTTTCGGTAGGAAAAATGCATATTGATGAGAACATGCTTGGTTTTCAACTAGAGTTTCTAGTTTATTGTATAACTTCTCCATCTGCGCAGCAGTCACTTTTGCATTGGGGGTGAGGAGAAGTAACTGATCTCCCTGCCCCAATGATAGCTGGGTGCCCATGCACATGCAGGAGGTTGGGCTGATGGCCCAAAATTTGATGCAACCAGATATTCTTTAGCTATGTCCGGGCTTTCCCTTATTGCTATTCCTGCATGTGTCTATGGGATATATCCTTTTTGGAAGTAGGTTTCACATGTTGTAGCTTGCATTTAGATGGCTTCACCACTGTTATGACTAATTTAAGCATGCCACCAATACATATGCTGCTATGTTGTGCTGATGTTTTATTGCTAAAAACTTACAGGTGGAAAGAATGGTGAAGGAAGCAGAGAAGTTTGCTAAGGAGGACAAGGAGAAGAGGGATGCCATAGACACCAAGAACCAGGCCGATTCAGTTGTATACCAGACAGAGAAGCAACTGAAGGAACTTGGAGACAAGGTTCCTGCTGCTGTGAAGGAGAAAGTAGAAAGCAAGATTGGAGAACTGAAGGAAGCAATTTCTGGTGGGTCAACCCAGGCGATGAAAGATGCTATAGCTGCGCTCAACCAAGAAGTAATGCAGCTTGGGCAGTCCCTATACAACCAACCTGGGTCACCTGGTGCTGGTGCTGGGCCTGCACCTGGTGGAGAGGCCGGGCCTTCTTCAGGATCAGCAGGCAAGACACCTGATGGTGATGTGATTGATGCGGATTTCACTGATAGCAGTTAGAGAATGAGAAGAAGAGGTTGATAATTGATGGCCACACTTTAGCACGTTATGAGAATGAGAGGAAGAGGTATGGATTGATATCGGGATGATTTCCTTTTTTTTTGTGTATTTATTTACGGCTCCTGGATTTTGGAAAGAGGTGAAGGATTAGATAGAAAGAACTAGTGGCGTTCAGCTACGAGAAACTAGACCCCATTACTTTGGGTTGATCATCTAATTTTTATAACCAAAATAGTTATGTGCCATGTCGCATATGTAACCATTGTAACTGTCTCAGAGTCTGTTGGTTAGGTAGTTCCATTACCTATGAAACAAAATTTTAAGTTTTTCTACTAATCAGATTCCAGGTGGATGAATTCTGTCGAGAAAGTATGAGTGTGAAAGAGTCCTTTACCAAAAAAAATGAATGATGTTTGTCCTATATATTTATTGCGAATGGACTCTGGTCCGCATACTTGGTGAAAAATTCAGTACGAATAACGAATAGAACTGTAGGTGTAATGTGGGCCATGCTGTGCCAGCCTGCCAGGCGTGTGCATCATGCCGGGCCGTGCTGGCCCATGGATAATCTGGCCCGTTTTACACCTATAAATGAAACAACTCGTCTCTTAATGCTCAGTAACGCTGGGAAAAGACCAATGATCAGTTAAAGCCTCTCATACTTTGTAGCGTGGGGCCGTGGGCAGCAAATCAAATTGTATGTAGATAGAAAAGAATGATGAAGAATGGTCATACCTAGAATGGAAATGTAATGGTTCATTGATACTTAGAAAACAAAATAAAATTAGGTTGGTTGGTGACATGCCAAGAAACTTATGAAAAATCAAATCTCTACAATTTACAATTCCACAGTGAAATGAATTCATTGAGAAAGGAGAAGGCAACTGGAGAGACGCAGGGGAATGATGTTAATGAATAAGGCATTTGGAGGTTCATGCTTCTTGATAGGGGTGAGCATTCGGTTTATTTGGCTGCATTTTTGTCAAATAAACCAAACCTTTTTAAACTCAACTTCTAATTGGAAAAACTAAACTGAAATTTTTGATTCGGTTTTTTGGTTATTTTAGTAAAAACCAAATATATATTTCAATTAAATCGTTTTAATTTTCAGTTGACTGAATTTTTAAATTTGAAGACCAAAACCCAATTCACTGAACTGATTCAATTCCCCCATCAAAATATGAGTTTGGATTGTACTCATGTTTTAATGGAATTGCAAGGACTTGGGCTTGACATTGTAGCTAAGCCTACTCTGCGCTGAGAAGTGAGAACTCTTTGAAATATTAAAATTCAATTTGGATATGCCTAGACACAAATTGGTTCACTGGATGTACGTGGTATTCATATTGAATTTGGATACTGAGTACCTTTAAATTAAAAACTAGAAACAATCAAAACATCATATATTTTAAAAAATGAATTAAAAGATACTTTTGTTATAAGAATTGAACTATGATTCTTTAGTAAATATATGGGATATATGTATGTATTATAGGATCAGATAGGGTTGGATTCATATTTGATACATTATATATAGATTGAACTCAAATCACCCTTCATTACACTGTATTTGAATTCTGACAAAGAAACTGTTTAGAGCTTTTTGAAGAACTCATAAAGAAAGATCCTTGAACTGGATTCCATTTATACAGTTATACCTCCCCTGTATTTTGGGGTGTGACAATTAATTTCCTTAAATATATTTTATAACAATGATCCTTTATAAGATATAATGATAGCATATATGATCACTCCATTGTTACAGGAATTGGAGGAATATGCCCATGTGCATGTCACATGTAAGGTTAAAAATTTGGAAAAACATTAATTTCTTAAAATGAAGATAATACACATTCTTAGTAGGTGTTCAACAATATGGTTGGTTTTGTTTTAGAAAACAAAAATAATATGGGGATCTTTGACAACATAATTGGTTTTGCTTTTGAATACAAAAACAACTGGGACTCAGCAAAACCAACCATGTTGTTAAACACCCTCTTAATTTGTATAGGGTTTTACTTTTTTATTTTCAAAAGTGAAACTAAGAATGCATTCTTGAATTTCTAGTTTCTACTTTGAGAAGCATAGTCTCCTCCAGTGGTTTGATATTATGTTTCATAAAGTATATGGCATCCAGAAAGTGATTCTGATGGAATCAATATTAGTTCGCCATTTTTATTTTTATTTTTATTACATTAAACCCAAGTCCATTTACACATGGATTTTTATGATCCATAAGAGTATTGAAGCAGCTGGTATGTGGTAAACGCCTAATAGTATTTCATAGTTGAACCTGACTAAAATTGCTTTCATCACTTTTTATTTTAAGAAAACACATCATGGAGTCCTGATACCAAATCAACACAAACTATAGGCCATCAAAATAGTTCCTAGCTAAGAGTATTGTCCATCCAAGTAATGTGCTGAAATATCAATTAATCTTGGTCATTCATGTAATGCACCAAAATTTCTAGAATATACAAACCAAGTGATGTGGCAAATAGAAGATCTAGACCATCAAAATGACATAATATCAGCCAATTAATCTAAATCATCTGATTAATGTATGAAGATTTCAAGTTCTCTAGGCTATTGCAATGATGTGCCAAGTCAACCCAAAAATCTGGGCCATCAAAATGGTCTCCTAGAGATGACTAATCTTTGCCTATCCAAGCAACTTACCAAAATTAAACCAATGGTCCGGTTCATCAAAATGGTTTGTTTAGAAAAATGAATCAATGAATCTAAATCACGGTTGGTTTACTCATTGTTTGCATCGCTCATTTACTTTCACCATCTCTTCCAATCTCAGTCTACTGTTGGTTTAATTAGTGTTTACATCAGTTCGTTTACTTTTCACCATCTCTTAATCTCAACCTTTGAGCCATCCAAATGATGTTCCAGGGTTGCATCCATGCACCAACCATTTCTGCCACTACCATCCCCAGAAATATCTCTGCCCTCATCACCAATCTGCACACACCATTCTCCTCCCTTTGCATTCATTTTCTTCTCCACCATTCTCATTACCACCTTTTCCGGCACCGTCAGTTCACTGGCCTCCACTTCTACCGCCACCATTGCCGCCACTTTTAACAGAAAGCTTTGAAGTTTAAACCCATCTCATTTTCATGGTGTGAAGGAGATGAATACTCCCTCCATGTTCAACGTGTATTGACCAAAACAGTGAGTGCCGACTCTTGGAGTCTGCTATTTTTACTTTATTCAGAATTCGGAAATCACTTCCCTCTTATATACACAGTACACTATGTGATTAACATTGCTAAAAAGACCCACCTTTGCGAGAAAGAGTTCCTACTAACGTGGTAATTGAGCAGAGCTTCTTATTCTTCTTATTCCTTTTCCTCATCTCTCTCTCTCTCTCTAACCTTCTGTTTTTCAATGGTGGAATCTTAGCAGGGGACATAAAGGCATGGTGGTGGGCCACTTCATGCATCATAAATGATAAAACAATAGTTCTTTTCATTTATTGCAGGCCTCTCATATTCTCATTCTCCCTTATTAAACACAAGAAGTAGAAAACAGGGATTTATGAACCCTAGAGTTAACTGAAAAATAAGAGCATTTGGCTTGATTGGGCATGTATGAAGGGCGTTCATAAATTGAAGAGCAGTTGCTTATACCAAGAAAACAATCAAAAGGATAAATGAAAAACAGTATCTTATTTTGTGATGAATCACTAAGCATAAACTACCCTTAATTACATCCTTCAACCCCACACCCACCTTTCCCAAGTTAAAAAAGAACAGAGGGCAGAGCTGACTTCTGCAATAAAAGATGAGGAAAACAATTAACAAATAAACTAGAGTCCAAAAAAGCGCTTACAGGCTTTCAGGAGCTTGCTTCTTTTCTTCTTGGATCTTGTCTGCATGGTGGTCTGATCATTGTCATCATCATCATCGATGGGTGAAGAAATTGGGTTGCATTGGTCATGAATCCTGCTATACCCTTCTGCAACTGAAGAAGATCTCCTCATAAAGAAGGCCCTCTTTACTGCAGATTGGAGTGCTGTATTTTGTTTCTCAGTCCAGAACCTTTGAGAAGAAGTAGAAGAAACAGAAGAGCTTTTTCTCAAAATTACTCCAAATATCTCTCCAACACCATCTTGATGCTCCTTCTCCGAGCAAGGATAGAGGCGGTTTGTTTCGTTGGTGCAGATGTTATTGATTTCTGTGCTCTTCTGGGATTTGGAAATGAGAGCTGTGTCATGGGTTGTGATGGGTTTGGGGCACTGAGGTTGAGAGTGGAGATCTGAGAAGTCCACAGATCTTGATCTTGATTTGGTGGTGCCAAGAACTCTAATCTTAGAATACTCGTTCATTTTCTTCTTCTAGTTTCCTTCTTCCTCCCCCCAAGCCACTTGGTATAATGGGATTGAGTTAAAAGAAACTTCTGGTGGTGAATGTAAGAAGCAGTGGTTCTGGTCGGAGAATGTCTAGATATTGAGGTGAGGTTTGAATGGAGTCTGATGACAGAAGTAAATTGGGTTGTTGACTTGTGGTAGATATAAGTAGGATTTTGTCTCTCGGAGGATAAAATTGGAAAGAGGGTAGGAGGTGAAGCTCTCTATTCTCAGTATTTGTACATACTGGTTCATTACTCCAAGCCACTGTTGTACAAGGCTGTGTTTGGCTTGGAGGGAGAAGCGGAAAAGCAGTGAGGATTCACTGATTTGGTTGATAATATAATCAAATCAATGACTAGAACTCTACAAGTCTAGTAGCCCCTTCCCGCTCCCCATACCCCACCCCCCAAAAGTCAATCCCTTTTCCATTAAACGACGGATAATAGGGCTAAAAATTCATTGTTTGGATCCAAACAGTGAAGCAGCAAATCTTGCAAATCTTTTCTTTCTTCCTTGCTTTTTTGTGGTGGGTCTTGCTTCTTTCCATAGCCATTTCCAAACACATGGAATACTGCTTATCTTAAAAAAAAAATGAAAATAGAATCAATGATTCTACAATGTTTCTATCACAAGGGAGGTAATTTGGATAAACCCCATTTCTGATAAACGAGGAAGAATCCTAATCAGAAATCAAAATCTACACTCTTTTTGTGATGGGCTCCGGTTTATACTTTATATAAAAGACAAGCTGCTTGCAAATAACGCCCTCTTTCTTAAGAGTAGTCTAAAGAGAAGTATGGTGGGCTCATTGCGCGCTATTGGTAGATTTGTTAATCCACTTTACATGTGTTGAACTGAACGTGTTAAGGAGCTGATTAGCCTGAACTGATTGCTTG